AGATAAACTGCGCACCGAGGCGAATCCTTAGTTTTCAGTGCTTTTGACTGTCTCCTGGTAACCTCTACGGGCGTTCGAGTGAACAAACTGTAGGCGTTGAATCCTTTCATTACCTTAAATATTTCTATTAGGTCACTCCTAAGGCGTCGTTTCCATGGAAAAGAGGCCTAACGCTTCAAGCCTTTCTCCGTATGACTTGCCCCTCATTCCCGAGACCAACCAAATGGCTAACCTTTGAACCTTCTCGATACACTGGATGTCTTTCTGAAAGTAGAGTGCCCAGGCCTGGACACAGTATTCTAGGTGGTGTCTCACCAGTGCCTTATACAGTGGGATAAGGACTTTTGTCTTTCGAGCATTCAGTATATCTCAACTGGAGTAGTTGACCTCTCGCTCTTAGTGCTGCAGCTTTGCACTGTTCACCTGGCTTCGTTTGGGCTACGCGCGTTAGTCTGGTGGTTTCCGCCTCCGTGCTTACTTCATTTGGACCGCCGTCAGTGTTCAGTGACACTTTGACGGGTTTAGGTCTAGGTCCCACATCTGAATTCAACAGATAACCTTTGTTAGGTCTTCCTGTAGTTGGGTTCGCGGGCCTGAGTTAACTTATTTTACATCGTCAGCCAACACGAAAGTTGGGATAGACAAACCCCTAAATAAATCATCAGCGTACAGCAGGAAAAGTATCGGGCCTAGGGCAGAACACTGTGGCTTTCCCCTCCGTCCAGAGTGCCTCNGGTCCACCTGTACAGATATGCCCCTATCCATATAATGAGAGTCCCAGGGAGTCCGAAGCTGTCGAGCTTTTTAAGCAGTAATCGGTTATTAACCAAATCGAAAGCCTTTTCAACGTCTAAGTAACAAACTTCGACTTTTTGGCCTTCGTCCAATTTCCTTGTGACTTCATCTAGGAGTCATATCAGGTTACTGAGACATGACCTCTTTTTGAGGAACCCATGCTGGTTTGGTGATAGTAGGTTGTAACGCGCAACATGCTCAACTATCCCATTTCCATCTATTCTTGAAGTTTTGGAGTGACTCTAGTTCGACACGAGCACATTAAGTCATCAAGAAATAGCGCTTTATTCATCACATACAATGAGCTACAGCACGCTTTTATAGCTTATTTGTCAGCGAAAAGCTGGTTATTCGCTCGCTACAATGAGCTACATTTTCATTACCCAATTCTCGTTTTTTTCACTTTCTCATTATACAACGCACCATATACCGCATTCTCACCATCACATTAACTGCCTTCCCGTGCATTATGTATACTTTAGTCGGTAAATAAAAGGCTTCCGTTTAAGAAATAATGTATATAAAATACAAGTCATAAAAATTTAACGTGACACCACTGGTGTTTTCGCGATGTTTTCGGAGGGACATTCTGTCCATTGTGTTCTTCAGCCATCTTTTCATTTCAAACTCAAACTGGCTTGTCATTCCGTGGAATTTGTCACAGCTCATGACAGCATCTTCAGAAATTTAAATCAATTACCGAAAATCGCCTGAATACAATTTAATCCTGACGTTCTTTGGAGTGTTTATCCGTGTGATTCACCTCCACAGCCAGATTCTCGTAAAAGGCGAGATTCATTGCACGTTTTATTGTATGCGTAAGGTCTTTACCACCAAGGTTGGTGACACGTTGGACCTAGATAAACGTAATATAGTCGAATTCGAATTCACCAAATTGTCATAAGATTTCTGCTGCAGTTTCATTTCAAAACCGTTTAGTTCTTGCACCGTTTTGCACTTACTTCTGATTACTGAATCACATTTTCTGACTTGTGGCCTCTGTGTAATGCACTGGGTGGGTCATTCATATAAATAAGAAAGAGAAAAGGACCACCAGTTGTAATTGGGCTTGATTCGGTTAGTTTATCCTTAACCCTCACAGTAAAGACGCGGTCAGAAGAAAAACCGCAGATTTTCTCACCATGGGTATATGGGAAGAAACGAAATGAGTGAAAGATGATATCAGTGCGTAAGGAGGGAAAGAGTGAAGTAAAAAATTAGTAGCATTAGAAGAAGGGTAGTTTGGGGGAAGAGAATGAAGTGGAACTGCCGGACAATCACGTTGCTCAAGCGGTTCCTTCGGTGAAAAGTCTTCCCATACAGAGTCCAGGAGGGTCTTGGAATCCTTCACCGAATTGAAATTGATTACTTCATTGGATAACCTGTTCCAGTCGTTCAGCACCCTTATGTCAAACTTTTGCTGCCTTATTCGGATGGTTACCCTGACCTTAGCTAACTTGAGGTAGTGGTAGCTGGGGATAAGACGGCGATTTAAATGAAGAGGGGCTGCAATGGAGACACGTTACTTTCCTCCGATAAACAAACTATCCCATAATTTGTCCAGACAGTGTTTGAAGTCAGCCACTGAGGTGGCAGAGATGGTTTAATTTGGTATTTTATTCCTGTCGTTTACGACTCACACTAGGAAGGATGTCGCTCTCAGTCGACAATTTATAAAATAAAAAATCTTACCCTTCTTGCCAGAAATACAAGCAAACGTCTATCTTGGGAGGTGAATCTGACCAGCGCTTATCGAGTTCCCTCCTTAACGTGTGTACATTCCTCATTTCCGGTGGTAACTTATTCGGTGAAGTGACTTACCTGTTGCTGAAGCCATTTAAACGCACTGGTAGTCCCGTGCGCATTTCCTTTTTTCCCTCATGGTCTAGCTATCATCGTTGTTGCTAGACGTTGAACTCTCTACGATGTCGGTGTCCTTTTGATGAAACGGAACTCAAGCCTGCACACATTGTTCCACATGCGGACGAATGATACACTTGTATAGTGGGGCAAACACCGGGTTTTCTGCATGTGATGGTCGCACATGTTTGCAGCCTTCACAAACTGGGTGCTTGGTTTAAAGTCCCGCGTTATCACTATTTCTTGATCTTTTTTTCTTGCACCTGTTCCTATCTCTTCGTCAGTCCTGGTCTCCAATGCCTCCAAAAGCCTCAGTTTGGTTGGGGGTGAGTGTCTAGGGTTGTGGCTGAGCACCCTTCCCTTGTACCTCGCAAAATGCTCCCATACGACCAAGCGTCTCAAATATCCTCTACTGAGGAATCCCTACTCATTGCCTTCACGTAGCCGAGGTGTTTTCCCACCAAAAGTGAGGGGACGAAAAGCCGACATCCGGGGCTATAACAGGGTTGGTGGACCCCTTGTAGTTCACCTAGGGGAGTTGGCCGAAAACCCTGATTCCAAACCAACCAAGAGTAGACGTACGAACTACACTTTCCCGGTTGTGACAGTGGTCACCAGCTCGACTGGGCATCGAGGCGTATCGGGCGTATTAGACGGTTGACCCCGTCGAAATGCGGTATAATCCGATGAACTTGACACCTACCCCCATTGGATTGCGGTTTTCGCGCACCGCTCCGCTGCCTTGCGGGTCAGGTTTTGGTTAACCAAAGGCTCTGGTTGCGGATTCCCTAAGAAAATTCACCTGCCTTGGCCTGGACAACCTAGCAGTACTTAGCCCATATGCAAATTATGCAAATTTTTCTTTTTTTGAAGATTATTGTACCGTAATTTGTTTAGCACAGTCTGGATTCAGACGTGTGTAAAATCTATCTGTGGTGAATTCTCTCCCTCGTTTACTGTTACTAGTGGGATCCGATACGGTTTCCCTATCTCTCCGATTCCCCTCAACTTTGCGATAGTTGATGTCATTCAAGAGCGTCACTTAACGTAACGAGCACTACTGCCGTGGTGCTTCTTCCCGGCAGTTCAATACTACGTCTAACCTAGCGGGGGCCTAGGTTGCCGGTTTCCACCATTAAACAGTAGGCCCTCTTGATTATGGGGTTCGCGCCGTCTGCTATTCATCATACTTAGGTGTGAAACAAAAAAGAGTCGAAGCTTAAAATATACCGATGATGTTACCTTACTCAGGAGCAACGCCGAAACGATTCAAAACACGCCAAGTCGCTTGACAATTGATTTGGCTCCTTATCGTATATCTCTTGTAATCCCAAACTTTAAGGTTGACGAAAACCTCTTCGTGTACTTCCACTAGAAGCAGTCGAGAGTTTTGTCCACCTCAGAAGTTAGATAACCGTTGGCGGCGTTAGTGAAGAAATTTGTCAAGGCGTAATCAAAATAAGATTGGCGTTTGTTTGTGCTACATCTCTAACCGGTGTGGAGTACCCCTTTCACTGCAAGCTCATCGCCACGTACCGTGTTGTTTTACGGCTGTGAAACGTAGCCTCTTCGAGCAGATTATTTCCAATGGCTATCCATATTCGACAAACGTCTGATGAGCATCGTGTGAATAACGATGAGATCGGACGTGTTTTAGAGGCATATAATCTTCTGTTGAGCAAAACCATTTCACTGCGTCGTTCGAGGTGGCCGGGGTACGTCCTACAAGGATCTGAACAACGTTCACTCTACCATTCGTTATTTAGAAGCAACAGTAAGAAACATCGAGGTGGGCTAGCTAAGACGTGGCGTTGAGGACTGAAGCAATTGTGTTCCTGGCTCGGGGCTCCCGAAATTCAGATCATCGTTAGCCAGAGACACAGTTATTGATTTGTGATCCGTGGCTTGAATCCACCCTTTCCCTGTCTGCAATCCCAATAAAAAAGTTGAAATTTCATACAATAAAAAAGCAAACAAGTGTTAGCCCTTATGCAGATCTAATCGTTTTTTGTTCCACTTTTGTAATTTTCCGTGAACCCAAGGTAATCTTGACACCGTATCCGTAAAGGTTAGTGTTATTTGTATACATGAATGAATACAAGTTAAAGATCAGCATCCGCTTCGAATTATGTAATCATTTCATTATGTTGCCATGTTTTGTTCACTTACAAGGTACATATGACGTCTCTCCAATTGTTGGTTTTGTAATGCATGATCTCTCTCTCTGTCTCAGCTTTACATTCAGTTCTTTCCTGTTCATCATGAATAATCGGTCGGTATTCTGCACATCATCCAAACGTACACCTTGATTTTGTTCAAGAATTATCGCAACAATCAGTTTGATCATGCTCACCCAGTCTTTGATATCAAAGGTACGGTTTCGTAATTATCCACTCACGTGCATCCATAGATATTCGCCGTCACCAACCACTTGCCCATCGTTGATCAGCTGCAAGAATACGCGACCAACCAAACGGTTGCCGTTATTCCAAATCTTTCACTGGACAGGCTTGTGGATGATGATTTTATTGCTGCATTTTGTATGAAAGGTAAGAGTTTATGTTCCAGGGCTTTAGCAATACTATCTTATGACAGCGTGTCTTGTTTTGATAAGTGAAAATCCAGATGGAGAAAACAAGAATCGTGGCTGAATATGGAGAATGAACGCCACTATTCGAGTCGGACACATCTGCTCCAGTCATTCGCGTCCCATAGGGTGTATTTAAATTATCGTAACGTTAGGCCAGTTCTTCATCTGACTGTTCGCTATCTATCATATTGAGCCCTCATCTTGAGGCACTGTTGTTATGCGCAAGCTCCTGTGATCCAAGTGGGCTGTCGACTAGACTCATCGCCAGTCAAACAACTGTATTCACTCACAAAAGGAGCCCTGGTAAATCACTACAGACATGAACAGTTTACTAATGTGTCATTTAACAAATATTGTGAAAAGATTAGGAGCCTCGGTGGAATTCTATAAGTCTCAGTAAGTTCACTGGGTGAGCCACATGTGAACCAGATCAACATCCAACACAGCAATAGCAAAGAGCGATTTCTCACAGCCATATTAATAGACTTTAACATGTATCTGCAAAGCGTCTACAGACAGCCGATCGCGACGGCTTTCCAACATTGATCGTGCGGAATGATCGAAACAACCGAGTTCAAATCGGAGTGACACCGAGGTTCAGGAGGTAACAGATACTTGTGTTGAAGCACAATTGAGAAACCCATTGGTCCAATATTGAGTAAAGCAAAAGTGCACGTAAACGGAGATGCTCAGAAAAACAAAATTTAAACCCAGCGCCACCAATTTGTACAGCCTGAACCCAGAATACATACATATATACCGTTGTAACTCTTTTGATCTCCAAACCGACTTGTCTTCCTTACACCCAGTTTTTTACCTTACCTACTCGTGCATCTCTACAACCGTATTCAACTACCGATTGATTCGTGTGTCCCCTCCTTACCTCCTAGCATGCGTGCCATACACCCAAGTTGACCCAACGAGTCCGTTGATAGGGATGAAGCTGGTATCACCCTCGACGTTTAGTTGATCACTCACTCCTCACAACCTTCCCCTCAACTTGATTTTTATAACAAGGAATTCGGTTCATGATGTGCCCGTGAGCGTAGTGCTATCAGGTTGCTCTAACCAAGGAATTCACTATCTGAGCCTTCAGTGCTCCAAAGCCCAACACGTCAGGATGGTATCTAAAGACCGCAGTTGATTTGGAACTGGTGTCCTGTTCACAGGATTGTACCTCCTTTGGACGGGGTTAACCGTCCAAGGTGCCCAATAAAGGCGGCGGCCATTGCTGCAATCCAGATGATATTTGTATAATTTGTACGTCTATTCTTATTTGGTTTAGAATCAGTTTTTAGCCAATTCCCCTAGGTGTACTGCAAATGGAACACAGACCCCGTTATAACCCTGAATTCTGGCTTTTCGTCCTATCATTTTGATGGGGACACATCTCCGTTATATGAATGCATTGAGTAGGAGTAAACAAAAACATGATGGCGATCGGAAGGTGGTTATCCTATCTGAGAATACAAATCAGGATGATACCCCTTCTACCGAGCGCTATCATGTATCGGGGTTCAAGGCTGATGAAG